ATTATCATCAATTGTTTGTGTTCATATGTTTGCAGTCAGATTTTATACTCATTCTGTTTACGTTAATAATTTTTGGTTGATACTGTTAGTTGAACCCTTTCAAGTCAAATTTGTACCCCTAATCTTGTACCTGATAGTATCCACAGTTAAAGACACTAAATATCGTCCATTTTGTCTTCTGCCAGAACTTGAAAAAGAGCTGGCATCCCCAGACTATGAAAAATATTGAGCGTGTTTGGAAAGCTGAACAGAAACATGAGGCTGAACGCAAGAAGATTGAGGAGCTCCAGAAAGAACTGAAGGAGGAACGAGCCCGAGAAGAGATAACAAGATTTGCAGAGGAAGCTGGCTCCATCAAGTTAGTCCTCTGATATTAACATGAAAATTGTGTTATAGTTTAAGTCCAAAAGTAGTGTCTAAGTCATACCTTTTTTATGATGACAGAAAGAAAGATGACCGCCTGGACTGGATGTACCAGGGCCCTGCTGGCCAGGTGTCCAGAGATGAGTACCTGCTGGGACGTCCCATTGACAAGCAGATCACCGACCAATACGAGGAGCCCGAGAGCGGTCCATCAGCTGAGACTGGCCTCCTGCCTGGGTCCATTTTCAATCCCACAGCTCCTGCCTCAAGCCTCGACCTGGCTGCTAAGATCAGGGAAGATCCCCTGTTTGAAATCAGGTCAGTAAGTCACTTATCTCCTATAATTTGTCCTGAAAATATGCTCAAAGTTTCAAATTGTTTAATTTATGTTTTGTCTTGTTATTTTTTAAAGGAAACGTGAAGAAGAAAAGAAGAGAGAGGTCTTGACTAATCCAGTGAAGATGAAGAAAATTAAAGAAATGGTAAAATTACTGTGTAACTGTTTTGATGCTTTATTTAATTGTTCAGTTGTTTTACTGTAAATAACGAATTCACTCATGTTTGATATTTACAGCTATTTCTAAGCATCTGTCAGTGATGTTTCCACTTACTTTGTGAACATATGACAACTGCAGCTGTGTTACAAAAGCGGTACAGTGTCAGGAGGTGGAGATTGTCATGCACTTTAATTTACTGGTCAGTTCTTTCACAGCTGCGCCAAAATCTCGACAAGAAAGACAAGAAGAAGAAGAGGAAGAAGGACAAAAAGGAGAAGAAAGACAAAGAGAGAAGAAAGGAGGAGAGGAAGTACAAGAGGAGGAGTTCGAGCTCAGATGAGGAAGACGAGAAGAAACACAGGTATGTAAATGTACATGTGTGATTTGTGTCTGCTCAAACTTAAAAGCACACTTACAATGCAAAAATATCACACACACAGATGAAATTAAATCAGTAGAGCAATTAAACAAGCTGTTTAAATATCAGCTGTAATCTTTCTTTAGGTCACATTCACGAGATGAATCTTCAGACACCAAATCTCGTTCCCATCATGTTCCGGGCTATGGTCTACAGGTCAGTGAGCAGCAAAGCAGTATTTCATTATACCACTGTTATTCTGATCACGCATACACTGCTGTTAAAAAGTCTGGAATCATCAGTTATTATGATGTTTTTCTTCTTTTCTTCAATAATGTCTCTTTTAATAGAAATAAAACCAGTTTAATTAAGACACCAACGTTGTCCTTCATACAAAGTAACATCTATTTGTAAAGAGGACTTTCTACAACCTATCAAGCTTTTGTGGCAGGCAGTTCCAAACTTGTGAATGGCATTGTATACATGATCCGTTCTTCAGTTTCAACGATTAATCTCACACTGGGCCAGACACTTAAAGTCCTAACAATCAAGTCTTCCCTCTCAGTTCCCCGCTGGCAGACATCACCAGTCCTCAGCTTCCTCCAATCACTCAGGGCGCCGTGAGAGGAGCCGCTCCCGATCGCCTCACAGGAACAACAGGGAGAGTCACGTCCACTCCTCTTCCTCGCACAGAGGAGACAGGAAGGTTGAGCCCAGAGCTTCCAGTCCACAGAAGGAGCGTTACCAGAGACAGAGGCACCATGTGTCCAAGTAAGACTTCACAGGGACTTGTAAATGATGGCTATTGTTTAGCTAATGGCATTATTCTAATTTGGACAGTATTTTGATTAAGATTCATTACTTGCTTCGCTTATAGAAGTATGGCATTCGTGTTTTGCTGCTAATGACTGAAGTCACCCATTCCTCCTCAGATTACAATGTTTCTCTTCAGTATTCAACCTTGAATCCTCTCTGTCATGTTGCTGCCATGGTATTTGCCATCAAATAGTTGGTTAGCTGTACCATTTCTATCTCAAATTACTCCTCTTCCATGTCATTTTTTATTCTTACTTTGATGTTTAATCAGGAAAATGCCTCTTGAATAGTAATGTGTTTTTCAGTGAATTGTCCTAATCACCACCCACACTGAGTGGATTTCAGTCATTTTTCTCATGTTTTTTTTTTCTCTCGTATGTAGGAAGCTCTCTGCAGAAGAGCTGGAGCGTAAGAGGCAGGAGATGATGAGCCAGGCCAAGCAGAGGGAGGAGGACAGGGAGAATAATGTGAAGAGATACAAGAGGCAAGACGAGCAGGAGAAGCAGCGGGAACAAAATGTCAAGCATGACCGTCATGCTGGCTTCATTCAGTAAGTTTCTGAGCAACATGGACACAGATATTGAAAGAGTGTGACATGATTATTGTTCTGTCTTAAAAGGTATTTTCCAACCTGGACCCTATTTTCCCATGTTTTTATGTCTGTGTGACTAATGGGAGCAACCATTTTCAGAAAGTAGTCCGGTTTTGGCAGCAACGTAACAGACTGCGTGTAATAATCCCTGCGGGCATTTGTGCATCATCAATTTACAAGTGGCATAAACATGACCTTTTAGTGCTTTATCACTAACAGGCTCAGATTGTTATAATAAGTGTCTGACAACTTATGAAATGGATCTTTTTAGGGGTCAACCTTTCTGTCAAAGAGAAACACCAGACTCCACTGAAATTTACAATAATTTTAGCCTATATGGAGCCAGCATATTTTCACATCTAACAGGGTGAATTAAGGGTTTATTTCAACCAAACCAAAATTGGTGATTGTTGGAACAGTGAGGAGGCGAACGAAGATGGCTTTTGTGTATTTTATTTTGTTTCTTTCAGCTTTGAATGAAGTCTATTTTACAATAATAAGATAAGTGCTCATTTAAATGGAGTCTGGTGGTTTTGACAACAGTGAATTTGGAGCACTTTCTGGTTAAACAAAAAGGATCTTACTCTTTAATAAAGAGATCTGTCTCTGTAGGGATCCTTTCAATATTGTTGTCAGACACTCATCATTGGAATCTGAGCCTGTCAGTGGCAAAAACATGCACTGAAAAGGGATGTAAATTGACTGTGCTCAGTTGCACCAAGTAGTTACATTGCAGCCTGTTCTGCTGCTGTGTCAATACTGGACCAATTTCCAAATATATTTGTTCCCATTAGTCACTTGGACACAAAAACATGGAAAAATACTGAAGTTACCCTTTAAATCCACAAATAATGTCCTCCTGAGTTGTCTTCACTTTTCACCTTTCTTGCGTACTTCACTTTAGCTCCAGTAACACTCACCTTTCCTCTTTCAGTAACATGAAGCTGGAGAGTGCTGCCACCTCGTCATTAGAGGACAGAGTGAAGAGGAACATCCACTCCATTCAGAGGACGACAGCCACAATGGACAACTTCATGAAGAGATGAAGACACAACACATTTGTCATACAAATAAACTGAACTGATTAAAAAGGCTTAGCGAGATAATTTCACCCACCCCTTTATCTGTCCCTTTAATGTAATGAAGCAGCTGTGTATGTGTGAGACAGTGAAGATAGCTGGTGTGGTGGGAGTCTGTCATGAGCTCAAACAAGGACCTACATGTCTCCATGCCTACCAGTGGATTTTATTTTGTAAATTACTTTCCATAACAGTGACATAATTTATATTTCAGACTATCGTGACTGATCTCTTGTGGTTCTTCAAAGCCAGTAGGTCTCTGAGATCTGAACTTTGTACAGTGTATTGTTTTAGTTTTTACAGTATTATAGACCCTGCTTTTATCTTACAAGGTTTTTGTAATATATGTTACTTAGTCCTGTGAGTGGAAAATGGAATAAAAACATATTCCCTGAGCTCCATTATTTGTTTTGGCTTTTTTTTTTCATTAAATGTATGTTTTTAGTGTGGATCCTCTGTCGTTCAGATACTGCTTCATAAAACACACCTTCAAATGTACACATATTCATATCAACACCCATATTTTATTCCTATGGTCTAAAGATGAACAACTATCCTAAATCCAAAATCTAGAGTGATAAAACTCAAATTTGTGATGACGTGGCAGCCTCCAGCACACCTGACGGAGTGTGCGCCCATATAGGCGAAGCGGCACAAGTTCGATTTCAACCTGCAGCCCTTTGCTTCATGTAATTTCCCCTCTCTCAACCCACTTTCGTATCTCTCCCCAGCTGCACTATGATAAAGGGAAAAACCCCTAAAAATAATCTTGTAAGAGTGATGTCATCAAGCATAAAGTGTGGAGCTGCTCCATAGACGATGAATTGGGAAAGATATACTTGATGACACTGAGAGCACCCAGAGGAATGTTCTGAGTGTCTGGGTACATTTTCTTTTTTGGAAGCAGGAACACTACGATTTAAAAAAAATGTACATCCTGACTCCTGATGGTGATCTTCCCCTTTAAATTGTTTATTTATTTTGGTGGTTATAGTTGAGCCAATATGGTTTGTTGTCCATCTTAACAATATGAAGGCAGGCCAGGACATACCTTAACTTTTTGTCACTGTCATGCATTATCATTCAGTTGGTGGAACAAAAAATATCCTTGGTTGCATGCCCAGCCTAGTGATTGTCTCCCTCAGACCTGAAACTGAAATCTGCCGGTTTGAATTTCACTTTAACACGCCTCGAACAAACTATACACGCACCGCTCGCCAGTGCCCCATGTCCTCCAATGAGAGCAGCGCTTTGCACTGATCCAGCCAATGGCCTTTTGCGCAAGCGCTGACGTAGTACAATCATGCTAGTCTCATCCACTGTGTTTCTAAATCGTGTAGTCACTCTGGGAAACAGTCACTTATAATATCCCAAGAAGTGGCGTTTACAAGTTTTAGGATCTAGGAAAATACCACAACACCTTCACAATGGTAAGAACATCTTACATATATTGTTTGCGAGTGGTTTGTGTGGTAAAATGGTTTAAAATTAGGCTGACAATTACAGTGGCTCGGCTAAGCTAATATTAGGAAGCTAGCTCACTGACATCTTTAGTATGCTCACTAAAGTTTAAGTTAGCTAATATCCTCTGAAAACGATTTTAACGCTATAATTTCCTTAGATAACCCGTTAGCGTAAATAATATTTCAGCTAACGATGCAGAAGAATTAACTAACAGTAGCCGGTGTTAGACGGAAAGCTAAACACTTAGCTTACCTAGCTAGGCATGAGCTAGCTAACGTTGCATCTTGTACGCTGGTTTTCTGTCCGTGCAGGAATCCTCCTTAATTACATTTTGCATCTTCAACAGAGGCAGCCTTAAACAGTTGTAAGTAAGTTTAGGTTGTACCAACATCAGTTAATATCTGATCAGACAATGTCCCCCCTGGTTTGCTGGAGCTTCAAATTAACACAGTTAAATAGCAGTTGGATAATGTAAAGCTACTGTCAACAGAAAACAGGTTTAAAAGCTCAATAACGACGATTTCCCCTAATTATCATTGCATTTAGAAATATATCTGACGGGATATTTCAGATACTGGTCCACCGTTTGTGTCCTATAATTATACTTCCATTTTACTCTTACTTTGATTGTTACACTATGAGCTTTTATAATCTACTGCTCCATGTTGACACACATGGGTTAGAAATAACTGAATTATGTGAGGTAATAGATATATTTCAGTCATAATACTCTACTATTACAACAAAAAATACATTGAATATTATTTGAATGTTACCTACTTATTGACAGTGTCCTTATTGTTAGCCCAGTCCTGTGATTGAGGTTCTTATTTCTGCCTTTAATACCAGTATTGTTGATCCTCTTTTTGCTCAATAGCAAGGTGTCAACTTACAATTATTGTCATTGTCAAACAGTGTGCCACTTATTTTCTCATGATTGTTTGGGGAATGAAACAAAAGAAAAAAGTGAGAAATGTTTATCAACATGTCAAGAGCTGAAATTTACATATTTCAATTGCTTGTTTTGTCTTTTTGCAGTAAAAAGACTTTAACAATTAATAGATCCATCAGATACATTTTCTGTTAATTGACTTATCAACTGATCCACTAATCATTTCAGATCTTACTGACTAACCTTTCTCCTTCTTCATCCAGTCTATTATGTCCTATAACGGAGGGGCCGTCATGGCCATGCGGGGGAAGAACTGTGTGGCAATAGCAGCTGACCGGAGATTTGGCATTCAGGCTCAGATGGTCACCACAGACTTCCAGAAGGTGTTTCCCATGGGAGATAAGTTGTACATCGGGCTGGCTGGACTTGCCACTGATGTTCAGACAGTGTGAGTGTGCTTAACCTCCATGTCTTTCTCTCAAACTAGTAAAGCAGTTCTGTCACAACCAACGGGGCCATGATGGCAGGTGTTCTTTGAGCTCTACAAATTGGCTTTTGACAACTTTTGGATCTTATGTATTGTTAAGAATAACACTAATTGAGACAAATCGTTTATTACTAACTATTTTGGGGAAACTGTGGTATTAGTAATGCTGTTAGTCAAAGCTAGAAAAGTAGGATTAGTGTCTTAGGAATGATGGATGTCTTTGCTTCGTGTGTAGAGCCCAGAGGCTTAAATTCAGACTTAACCTGTACGAGCTGAAGGAGGGTCGCCAGATCAAGCCTAAGACCTTCATGAGCATGGTGTCCAACCTGTTGTATGAAAGGAGGTGAGTGCACCAAACTTGATTTAGATCCATTTTAATGTAAACAGGACCCTTGTCCAACTATAAAGCTGCACACTGAAGACATAAATACTTTCATAGACGGTGAAAGAAAATCTGATTAATGTGTGATGCTCTCATCAGATTTGGCCCATACTACATCGAGCCTGTGATTGCCGGACTAGATCCCAAAACCTCAGAGCCATTCATCTGCTCCTTGGATTTGATTGGCTGCCCCATGGTGACAGAAGACTTCGTTGTGAGCGGCACCTGCTCGGAGCAGATGTATGGCATGTGTGAATCCTTGTGGGAGCCAGACATGGTAAGTCGAATGTGAGGTTTGAAGGCACTTTGATGTAGGGGTGCACTGATTTATTGGTTTAACATCAGTATAGGCCAATATTCGTCTCGTTAACTGCCATAGGCCTAATCAGCAAATAAGATGACGATCACTGATGGTTGTAAAGCAGGGCTTGAGATTAACAGCGTCCTGTTGTCCTGGGGGGCACAATAGAAAACATGTTTGTAGTCAAGTTGAGTAAATTCACCTGCGATGCACCTTAGGTTTTTCCTGATATTGCTACATTGTTAACAACTAATGCACGTTGAAATCAGCAGGTGGAAACCTAGTTAACGTTAGCAGTTAGCAGCAGGTGGCCAGAACTAAAAGCAAACACAGGTAGCAGTGAGTTATATTATGATTCACTCATGCTCTGTTCATAAATGAGTATTGGGAGAAGGTTGATTACAATAGCAGCATGGTGGTGCAGTGGTTAGCATTGTCGCCTCACTGCAAGAGGGTTTCTGATTCGAACCTGGGGTGGGGGAGCAGGAGTTTGCATGTTCTTCCTTTGTTAGCGGAATTTCTCAAAGTATTCCAGCTTCCTCCTACAGTCCGAAGACATGCAGGTTAATTGGTGACTCTAAATTGGCCATAGGTGTGAATGTGAGTGTGAATGGTTGTCTGTCTCTATGTGTCAGCCCTGTGATAGTCTGGCGACCTGTCCAGGGTGTACCCCGCCTCTCACCCAATGTCAACTGGGATAGGCTCAGAATTTCAGATTAGATACATACTCCCTACTCATATGCCTGTAGGTGGCTTGCTACATGATGTTTGCTGGATCATTGTGTGAGTGTGTATATTTATGCTATGTGCATGTAAATGGAGATACTACTACCTTTAATATGTAGTATTGCTAAAATTGTCAGATATAACTTTTACAAGATCATGATAGTTTCTCTGTACAGCTGACAAGTGACAGTTTCAATACAGGAGTATAAATCTGCTGCTCTTGTCAGGAATATCTACTGTCTATTTAAACATTTGCTCCACCGAAGCTAGTTTTTAGAGACTGACCTACTATTGTACAGTATGTGAGGTCTAACAAGGGTTCAGCCATTCTGACCACAGGTATTCTTTAGATAAAAAGTCATGAGTGGTTATTTGAGAAATGTTTTCCATCATGCAGGAACCAGAGGACCTGTTTGAGACCATCTCCCAGGCTATGCTGAATGCAGTTGATAGAGATGCAGTGTCTGGTATGGGAGTCGTCGTACACGTCATGTAAGTACAGTAGTAGAGGAACAATATGTACAGGTTGAGTGGAATGACAGGTTTGCAGCAAGTGACAGCCTTTTCTTTTCTTTGGCAGTGAGAAAGACAAGATCACCACACGAACCCTGAAAGCCAGGATGGATTAGAGCTTCTGTTTCTTCCCACACTTCACCAACACACGTTTTTGTATGAAAATATTAAACAATGCTTGTACTGTCTCTTTTTTCTTCCTCAATAAATCTAAAACAATGAACTTGACTGATGTTATTGGTGAAACTACATTGCCACATTTTGCAGATCCTTTTGTTGCATGTTACATATTGTGTAAACCTGATACCAAAGCTCGACATACTTGACAACTAAAAATACAAAAATGAAAGGAAAGACACCAGCAGGACTGACTGACCTAAAAATACATAAATCTTTCCTTATACTTTATATGACAACTAGCTTTGGTTGTACATCAGTTGTAATGTCACATTGCAAGTAGGGCTGCCACGATTAGTCGACTAATCGATGACTAATCAACTATTAAAATAATCGGTGACTATTTTAGTAGTCAACTAATCGGTTTGAGTCATTTTTCATAGAAAAGTACTATAAAAGTACCCCAAAATACTCTTACTGCAGCTTCTTACGTTCAGATATTGGCAGCTTTACACACTCTCCCGTGACAGTGAACTAAAACCCTTTGGTGTGAGTATGAAACAAGACATTAGATGACGTAATTTTGGGGTTTGGGTGAGACAGACCGACATTTTTCAACATTTTAACACATTTTTCGATGAAATGATTAGTCGACTAACCGAAGAAATAATCGACAGAGTAGTCGACAATGAAAATAATCGTTAGTGGCAGCCCTAATTGCAAGTAGCATCATGATCATGACACGGCAGACACACTCCCAATCACTTGTCTTAAAAAATGTGTATGCTATGATATTTTGTCAGAAAAAAGCCTGTAGGGGTCAGTCTTGGGCTGAATCCAAATTTCCTCCCTCTGGACTTCAGTCGCATTTACTACGTGCCCATTGTCATGTAGAGACTGGAGTTGAGGACGCTAAATAAATTAGGCATTATTTACAGGCCTTTTATTCTTTTTCAGCCAGTCTGTTAGCCCATATATTTGGCATGACACTGCACAGCCTCTTTCCTAATGGATATGCTGCAGTAATAAAATGCATTTTGATTAGGCTCCCTCCAGAGCACATATTTCTGTATCATGATGTGGTTGAATATTATCTCAGACTTAGTAACTATTTAATTTTTGTTTTTTAGTCAACAGCTGAAAAGACAACAGTGTGTGTATTGCACTGAATTGTGGGTGATTAAATCAGTGAAGTCTGCACTTAAAGCCAGGTATGTTCAAAGTCTGGCCCAGGGACCAACTGTGGCCTGCAGGCTGTTTGAATTTGGTCTGCAGGCCGTAAATATACTGCATGTGGCCCCCCCACACAGCGTTGGTTAATCAAGTAAGTTCACTTTGCAATCATGTTTTTATCATCTTAGAAATATTTTTTAAAACATATCTATTTTAACTTTTAAAGACGAGACCGTTTTACTCACCTTCATTTCTTCGTGCCTGGGTCACTTCTTTCCTGGATCAAAAATATATTAATCAAGTCCAGACTGTACAGAATTCAGCTGCAAGGTTTTTAACTAGAACCAAGAGATGTGATCACATCACTCCAGTTTCAGCCTCTTCACACTGTCCCCCAGTTTGTTTTAGAAAAGATCTCTGATATCTCCAACCTCTCACTCCCGTACACGCTAGGACCTACTTGCTACAGGGGACACAGTTTGCTGTCAGGGCCCCGAGGCTCTGCAATAGTCTGTCCGAGGAAATCAGGTCGGCCGAGTCAGTGATCTCTTTTAAGTCCCTTCTTAAAACATACCTTTATCAGAGAGCCTTTCCTGATTTTACTAGCATTCAGGTTCATTTATCTTCTAACCGCTTCATCCTCTTGAGGGTCGCAGGGGGGCTGGAGCCTATCCCAGCTGACATCGGGCGAGAGGCAGGGTACACCCTGGACAGGTCGCCAGACTATCGCAGGGCTGACACATAGAGACAAACAACCATTCACGCTCACATTCACACCTACGGGCAATTTAGAGTTATCAATTAACCTAGTCCCCAATCTGCATGTCTTTGGACTGTGGGAGGAAGCCGGAGTGCCCGGAGAGAACCCACGCTGACACGAGGAGAACATGCAAACTCCGCACAGAAGGGCTCCCACACCCGGGATCAAACCGGCAACCCTCTTGCTGTGAGGCAACAGTGCTGCCGCCCAGAATTCAGGTTTTTAGATTTTTTTTCCTTTCACCTCACGATGGCAGGACTATCACACAGTTTGTAGACATGCACCAAGTAGGAACTACAGAGGCAGAACAAATAAACAGACGGTAAACAACCAAGTGATTGGTTACCTTACAGCTGACACTTCCTATTCGGTAGTGCCATAACAGAAAAAGCATATAGTCAACAGCGAGGGCTGCTGCTTTCAGGAGTGGTGGAAAGTTGAAAACTTCTTCGCTTAAATATGCTGTCTCCCAGGTATTTTCCATAGAGCGTATAAATTATAGATGTAGCTTCCATGACATAATCTATTGGTTTATGAATTGCAATTATAAAGCCGAGCACAGCATTTCTCCCATCGCCATCTTTGGAGCCAGAAGTAACCATACTTGGATGAGAGGGTGGAGCAGTGAAGGAGTGAGGGGTGGAGCTGACTCATAGACTGCTGTGACACCTCACAGACAGCCTGTCACTCAAGTGGCCTTTCCCTAAAATATGTGAAACTGGATCAATTGTGAACGCGTGAGTTATATAAAAATTGACCCACTTACAGTTGTCATGAATGTTGAAATAAGCTATAGAGACCGAAGCTGTTTTCTGTACCAGGCTGTAAATATGTTTATTTCTGCTGTAAAGTTGAGCATTTTAATATGGGTGTCTGTGGAGACTGGCTGTTTTGGAGCCAACCTCAAGTGGCCATTTGACGAACTGCAGTTTTTTGGCACTTCCTAGACTTTAGCCTCCAAGGTTGTGCTTGCTTTTCATATAATCTAATCTGGCTCTTATCCAAAAAAGCTTGGACACCCCTGCCTTAAGCAGACTCCCTGGTAGTCTGCAAAGTCCGCCGCCTGTGGACTGGATGAGTTCTGTGCAGTGATATGGTTGGCGGGTGTAGCTCAGTAGAAAGAAGATAGTTCCCACATTAAAATGCTCTCAAGGTCTGTGGATTATCTTGAGTAACTTGATCATGATTTTTGGAAAGAGACATTGCTGAGTTTGTCAAATATATTTTTTTTGGCACTTTGAGCACCACAAGCAGAGTGCCATCTAGTTCCATTATATTTGATAGAAGGCAGACATCTCTACAGTGGATATCTCCAACACTCAGCAACTCACACCAAAACAATATAAAATGATAAAGAACACTACAGGTAAGAGGGACAATATGTATTTTTGATTTGGGGGTGAACTGTCCCTTTAACGTAACATGGCACAAAATCCTTAGAATTGTGTAATGAGATGTTTTATGGTGATTTTTGACAGCATCTCACCATCTTCCTTTGTAGACTGAGTCTGGCCAGTTGCCACAGAGATAGCTCAGCTGTTATCACATGACCCAAATAAAAACATTTTTGTGTACCAACTGTTTAACAAGCGTTTTAGGGACAGTCACTGACGAAATAAGCAAAGCCTAACAACAAAAACAAGATAAAACTCCCTTTAATATGCAATGAATCATTTTCAAGTAACCTTTTTTCTAATGTCTGTTGGTAACAAAACAATACTGTATACAAACACAAAATTGCTACATTAATGTAAACAAGATATAAAAATGATCCTTATGGTAATAAAACAAGTATTTGCTGCAGAATTCCCCTTTTTTATGTGAATTTTTTTTTCTTAGACCAACCTCCACCAAGCTCACGGTTAAAATTTCAAAAATATTCAAAAACAATATGGCAACGTAACATTCAAACACCAATTTTTTTTTTTTCAGTTTTTGTTGTTTTAGTCATAACACTCAGATGCTAAGTTCAGTGGTTTGATGTTTCAACTTACTGGTGAGTCTCATGTACACATCAGCCATGCATTTTTTGATATTGCATTCATTTACTTAATACACCATTATATATTAATGAGTTTATCCCGTCGTTCCAATTTGTCAGCAGTAGGTTTAATTCTTTTGTTGTTACTGAGAGAAAAGCCTGATGGTGACTGTCAAAGAGTTTGTCATGCAATCTGACCATTCAGCATCTGTGCAAGTTGTTTACATCTGTGTGTGCGTGTATGTGTGTGTGTGTGTGTGTGTGTGTGTGTCTAATAGAAATCATAGGAACAACAACGACATGAACAGAAACCAAAGAGACTGTACTAACGGACTGTTAACTGCTGAAGCTGACACACTTGTTCAAGGCATTAGTGAGACAGTTTCCGTGCTGGCGTGAGGAGTAACAAGGTGGCTGAGAAAGACTGGGAAGCAGAATTTTTTTTTAAAAGAACAGGGAGATTATCAGGACATAGTTCCGAATTCAGTGAGCGGTTTCACGAGTTTTCCTTGCAGTGGAGAAGGGAGCCGGGGAGGCGGCGGCGGCGGTGTGTTGAACTGTGTAACAGGCTCGGTGCATCCTTCCTCCACCAGACTGGAGCTGGCTGTGGGAGGATACTGGTAGTTTTTTTTTTTTTTTTTTTTTTAAATGGTAGTAGAGAGGCTGGGGGAGATGAACCTACACTGAGGTGGAGGAGAAGAGAAGTAAGTGCGTGGCATTTGACAGATCTATGACAGGAAGTGAGTGGCTGGACTGGGAGATGGGAGATGAGTCTATGATAAGATGTTGGACATGAACTCGTAGAATCGTTTGGAGTACTGCTCCGGGTTCACTGTCGAGATCTCGGCCCCCGCCTGAAAAACAAACAAACAGCAAGGCAGATAATTAGATAGATGGAGCAACACTCATGAAAAATCAATCCATTAATACCTTTGATTTCCATTATTTTTATATATTATATGGACTTAATGCACTTCCAGGGGTCCTATGACAGGCTGATAGTTGGTCAGCCTGCTGCAAGGCTCAGGGCACATGTAACTGACTGAAAGATAGTCCCTCCAGGATGTTGTGATCGCATCAGTTCAACCAAACCCTGTGAATTCTACGTTCTGACCTTGCAATTTTATGTAATGATTACAATTTATCTGAATATTTGACTATTTAAAATGGGTAAAATCTCATTTCATTGTACAGCTG